ATAACACCTTAATCAAGACATCAGAATTAACAGCACCAATTAGTTAGACATATAAACATCACGTGCCTTCTGATATGTATGTACCCAAGAAGGACACGGCACCACTTTAGTGATACTCTTGCCAAATGTGCATAAACTTGAATTTAGAGGCCAGCAGGTGGTGTAGTGGTTTGGGTGTTGGACTCCCACATGGCTGACCATGGTTCTGGTCTTGGACCCGGCAGCTTGCTTTCTCACTTTCCTTCTCTTCTCTCTCTCCATCTCTCTGGTGAGCACATAAGCCCTATAAGAAATTAGAATTAAAATAAAATAGAAGTCAGCAGATGCCATAATGATTATGTTGCTGAACTCACACGTGATTGATTGCAGTTCAAGTCCTGGACCTGGAGGCTTGAAACTCATGCTGGGCATGTGTGCATGTGTGTCCAAGATCCTAGGAAAAGAATGATCTCTCTAAAAAATAAAATTTTTTTAAAAGAGTTTTTTGCTATTAGGCATGTGCGGGTGAGCTCACTAGAGGCAGAAAGTGAGAAATCACACCCCCAGGGAGGATGGCCATGCCCTAATCCCTTCTCCATTCTCCTCTTGGGATCTTGGGCATGCATGCATACAGGCCTAGTGTGAGTTTCAAGCTACTGGGTCCAGGACTTGAATCGTACTTTATGTGGGAGTCCAGCAACGTAACCATTACGCCATCTGGTAGTCCCAAATAAAAATTTATTTAGAAAAAAAAAAATTCTGAATTTAATCATGAGGAAATGCCACACAAAGCCCCACTGAGCAATGTTCTAACAAATGACTGGCAAGAACTTTTAGAAAATGTTAACATCGTGCAAGACAGGACTGTCAGAGATTGGAGGAGAATAAGAGACATAACACCTAAATGTAATAATGTGAAGTCCTGGATTGGGTCCTGGACCAGCTCAGAAAATCAATGGGAAAACTGATTAAATTTACATGAAATCTGTAGTAAACAGTATTGTATCAATGTCATCTTATTTTTGACAATTGTGCTATGGTTATGTAAGATGTTAATATTTTAGGAAGCTGGGTAGAGGTTATATGAAGAATGATTTGTCCTAGTTTTGCACTGAAATATTTCTAAATGAAAAGCTCACACAAAAAGATAAAGACAGACGGGCTTTGACCAAACTTCCCCTCTCTGGGCCATAATTTCTTCATCTAAAGAAAAAGGCCCATATCCTGAACCCCCCAGTATTGTGAGGATAAAGTGGAAGAGTGGGAACGAGCAATGCGTGCGTGCCGATGCTGTAGAAAGTTATTCTTGTGTTAGGGATAGCAGAACTTACACGTCTTAAGCTGCTAAAACTTCAGAAGGGTTCCACCCAAATGGAAAACATCTGGCTGCAAGCTACTTCCTCCCAGCCATTTGATATGACCTTGTTCAAGGAAATCATAATGCCAGCTTTGTGGCTGGGCGTCTGTTGTCAAGGAGATGGCTCCAGATAGTCCAAACAGCTGGTGGCGATGACGTCAACTCCATGCTTGGCAGAAAGAAACGCCGTGGTGAGACAGAAACAGGGCACAGGCTCTTGTCCCTGACCATGAGACCACTAGAGAGGCAGGAAAAACAACTTCCCAAATAGCCTTCTTTTGTGTGTGCCATTGATTCTATTTTCAGTTTCCAGGTTCACTAAAGGATTTAGGACATATTCCAGGAACACTGTCTTACTGAACAGGGCAATTGATTGTCATAATGTGAACCACCTACAGGTTCTTTGTTCTTTATAGTTTCTAAAATATCTAAGATACTGCAGCCCTGGAAGCTTGGGATGGTCTGCCTCATTTTATACTTGGAAAAATCAAGATATAGCAAGGGGAGGAGAGCCAGGTCACAGGAGAAGCTGGAAGAATTTCTACATGAGAATCCAGTTGTTTAGACTTCCAGCCAGGCAACCGTACTGCCTCCAACAAGATTCAACTCTTTGCCACCTTGAAGCAGGTGCTCAAGGAGCAGGTTCGGGTAAACACACATAAATATGTAGGCATCACATCTTAATCCAGAATCCTAAAGTGGAGAAAACCAAACAAATTGGGAAATCGGGGTGCTGGAACTCAGAATGACCTGTGCTCAGATCTTAGCTCTGTTACTAGCATGGACCTTGAATGAGTTTCTCCTTTTTTCAGCCTGTCTTGTGAAGGTAAAATGAAGCCGAGCATGTGATAAGCCTGGCATAGATGACACATAAGATGTGCTGGCAAAACGCAAGTCCTCTTCCTTGTTTCTTTTTTCAAGCACATTTATCTCCTGGATGGAAAGTTAGTTTCTTCATCCTGGACCCAACCCAGGATTCCACATTGTGTTTAGGTGTTCATTTGTAACTAAGGCTCCTTCTCCAGATCAGAGCTGGTTATGTGTTACCAGCTTTGAAATAAACACTGGGCTTCTAGGACTCCCCCTTCCTTGGGGGCAGTGCACCTGGTGACCTAAGTCCATTCTCTGTGTTAGGCTATTATCTTATTGCTGATTCTGGGAGTGGTTGCAGATCTGGGGAAGAAGGGACAGATGCAGAATCATGGGCTTTGTAGGCCTCGCTAAATCTGAAAGAGAATATGAGAAAATACATGATATATGGAATGGAATTACTATCGACTGAGCTCCTTAAAGGTATTTCAGGTTGTCCTCACAGAGGCCTTGCAGGATAAGTATTTAGCCCATTTTCCAGATGGATAGGTTGATCATGACATTCATTCATTTAACTTTTTAAAAATTTTTAGAGAGTTTTTTTTCACTATAGGGCATGTGTGCTCGCTGGAGAGTGAGACAGACAGCGAAAAATCACCTCCGGGGGGGTGGCCACATCGCAGTCCCTCCATTCTCCTCCTGGGATTTTGGGCATGCATACACACATGCCTGGCATGAGTTTTAAGCTACCAGGTCTGAGACTCAAATCGTTGTTGACTACGTGGGAGCCAAGCGACGTAACCATTACGCCATCTGCTGGTCCCAACATGTATTTTAAAACATCTGTTGGGTGGTTTATTGCTGGGTGTTGAGGATGGTTTACTGTCATGGAACCTCCAATCTAGTGCAAAAGCAAAGAGATATAAGCGACCAGAAGATGGCGTATCGGTTACATCGTTGGACTCCCATGTAGTTGACCACAGTTCAAGTTTTAGATCTTTCTGTCTCTCTGGCGAGTCCACAGGCCCTATAGCAAAAACTCTCTCAAAAGGTAATAAGTGCTACAGAGGAACAGTACAGGTTGCTAAGAATATAGGGACTTGATTTAGAAGATGAGGAGGGCTTCTTTTAGAAAATAACTAATTAGGGACCAGCAGGCGGCATAGTAATACTGTCACTGGACTCCCACATGGCTGACCGCTGTTCGAGTCCTGGACCAGTAGCTTGAAACTTACGCTGGGTGGGTGTGCAAGTATGCCCAAAATCCTGAGAGGAGAGCAGAGAAGGGATTATGGTGTGCCCCAACACACCCTGGGGATTTCTCGCTTTCTGTCTCTCTGGCGAGCGCACAGGCCCTATAGCAAAAATCTCTCTTTTTTAAAAAAGTAATTAGGGACCAGCAGTTAGTGTAATGGTTATGTCGCTGGACTCCCACGTAGTCGACCACGGTTCAAGTCCCAGACCTGGCGGCTTAAACTCACGCCAGGTGTGTGTGCGTGCATGCCCAAGATCCTGAGAGGAGAATGGAGTAGAAGGGATTGTGGTGTGACCATCTCCCCTGGGGAGTGATTTCTTGCTTTCTGTCTCTGTCTCTCTGTCTTTCTGGCCAGCGCACAGCACGCGCCCTATAGCAAAGCCCCCCCCTCCCCCCAAAAAAGGTAATTAATTAAAGAGTGAGGAAACAGAGTGAGGGTGAATTTGTTCATGATTACAGTGAAAGTCACCATCTACTCACCACTCACCCATCTTTTCAAGTTCTTTTCATGCAGCTTTCTCCTCACAGCTTGTGGAGGAAGGGGCAATATTGAGATGGGGAAGGGGAGGCTCTTACTGGCTGAAGTCTGCCAAACTTAGGTTTGTGTTATGGCCATGCGCTTTAAGAAAGGCAACCAAGGTTATGGAGACCCCTCATGTATTGGTAGAGGCTCCAGTTGACAGATTACTGTGTCCTTGGGCGAGTCCTTTCCTCTCTATGGATCCAGCTTTCTGATTGTGGAACGGGTGCGTCTCAGTCCTAACGGCCATTAAGGGTCACTGGTGAGAACTTGGGAGTGTGAGTGTGGCTGACCACTTGACACGCAGGAACAAATGATTTGCTTCAAGCTGAATGAGCAATTTACTGCTTGCATTACAATTCCGCAGGTGGGATTTTTCCAGAGTGAGGCAGCAACCAGTTATCAGAGTTTCAACTCAAGGCGCAAGCCTTTTGGAAGCAAAGACTCCTTCTACAATGCAGAGACGAATGGGGAACTCTTGAAGGTCATGAAGGCCAGCGTTCCCATCTCCCGCTTAAATTAACGGACCGGGGCCCACTTTGCCCTCAACAAAGATGGCGCTTTTACTGACTTCGGCCCCAATTCCCTCACAAAAAATGGCAGCCAGCCCCTCTTTTTTCGGTCCGGCCGGCAGAAACACGGACGTGTGCCCTTAGTTAATATGGCGCCTGCCTTCGTTTGGCTGCCCGGCCTCTGGCCTTGGCCGATCGGCTTCACCGCGCGCGCCTCCGTGACCCCGCCTCGTTTCCGTAGGAAGAAGCGCCGGGAAAGATGGCGGCAGCTGCGGTTTGAATTCCAGCGGCGCCGTCAGAAGCTGAACAGGAGCTGGGTTGGAGGGGGCGGGGACCTGGGAAGCCCGGCAGGTCGCAGCAGCTGGGGGAACCCGTGGCGCCGTCGCTACGCCCACCAACGCCACCCCCGC